AAAATTCCTATCCCTCCCGCCTCCGCCAGTGTGTGGAGCCCTCAGGAGGCCAGCGGAGNATGCCTCCTGCATGCCCCCTACTGGGGATCAACTTCTTGGTGCATGGGTTGACGCTCAACCACTGAGCAATACCAGATGGGCTACCTCTGTGACTTTCTAAGTAACCTTTCTCTTATGTCTCTCTGTCTCTCTCTCTGACTCCGTTTCCCCACCCCACCTTTAAAATCAATAAATAAAAAAAAGAAGAATATTTCAATGCAAAGTTCTTTCACAATTAGGTCACAAGTGCCACCAGCCAGATGGCAACTGTAAGACTTCATGGCTTCTAAGACACATCCCAATTTCAGGGAAGTTAAAAACTAGATAAATATGCATCTTGGAATCAATTTAATATGGTAAAAGCACATTCTCTAAAATACTGAGATGCTATATTCGCCATGGGGGGGACACAGCACTAAAATTACATTTCGTGCCCAAAACCCATTGGACATTAACTGTTTCCATTTACAATGTTGCCTTATTTCACTTTAGTTCAAGTAAAACAATTTCAACTTCCAGAAAAGGTTACAACTAAAAGCTCTAAGAGGTATTCCCAAAGTGAATAAAAAAAAAATTTTTAAAGAAATTTTACTAACTCATCCGACAATTGCTTTTTAACAAACAGTATTACTTTTATAACTTTAAAGTTGTTTTTTAGTTGCCTATCAAGTCTCCTGAAAAAGGGATTCTTAACCCTCTAAAAACGTATAGAAACTAGTTTACATGCGTCTATTTTTTCCAGAGAAAATTCACCAATTTCTCAAAAGGATCCATATACCAAAAAGACTAAAAATCACTTTAAGAGAATTGTTTCAACTACATATTAAGAATTTCGGAGTCATAAAATAGAATATTCTATAATCTGAAGGACATCACTAGCCAAAAATTAAGTTTGGGGTTTGTTTTTTTAGGGGGGGTGGGGTACAGAAAATAGATTCATTTCTTCTAGAACAAATGAAAATAATGCACCCTTTTATTTAAAAATTACTGAAGCGTTTCTTTAATATAAATCAGTGTTAAATCTGATAAAGCAGCTCCTACTAAGGAAAACATGAGTATATAACAAATGCTTTTCTGTTACCAGTTTGTAGAGTTCTATAAAAATGGAACACACCTACATTTTATACCCTCAATCATACTGAATGAAATCAAAACTACAAAAAGTTCACTGCTACACTGTAAGCTTTATGCATCATTTAAACTTTTATGTTATGCATATCATGAAAGAGGTACTCTCACTTTCTGATCTCTAGACTCACTGCTTTCATGCTATTAGATAATTAATGCAGGAGCTCCAAGGAGGTTCTATACCAAAGCAGCCACACTAAGATCATTAAAGATAGTATTTTTTAAAGGAATGAGGTCAATGTTTTAAAAGTCATCATTAACTTGCCCAGCCAGACGTGCGTGGCTCAGCGGTTAAGCATAGGCCTATGATCCAGGAGATCGAGGTTCGATTCCCAGTCAAGGCACATGCCAGGTTGCAGGCTCGGTCCATAGTGGGGGCTGTGCAGGAGGCAGCCAATCAATGACTCTCATCACTGATGCTTCTCTCTCTCTCTCTCTCTCTCCCCCTTCCTCTCTGAAATCAATAAAGACATATTTTTTAAAAAAAAAAAAAGTCATCAACTGCTGACTTGATCAACAATAGCAAAACTGGAGCAATTTTGGTGTTCTCGGTGTTCTAAGCCATCTACTTTGTGTTTTGTAATGATTGACTCAGAGGAAAAATTCAAAGCAGCAAAGAAATTCACCTGGTAAGTCAATGTGATCAAGAAACTGGACAAAAAGATAGCAAGGCCACAAAAGATTTTACAATAAGCCAAAAACCAGACACAAGAAACTATCTTTGCTTGTCATACATCCATACCGCCCCCCACCAAAGCTAAGATTCACACTGACTCTAGATATGTAAAAAAATAAAATAAAAGCAGGATGAATCAAAAAATTGTAAAACACAGGTCTCACAAGTCTCTAGCACAATAGATGCCACAGTTAAAACAGACTGGAGCCAACTATTTCACAGTGAACAAGATCAATTAAAAGCCTACTAATATGCAAAAGTTAAAGGAGTTACATTATGAAAAAATTTAAAGAGTAGACTGATAGGGCCCTGGCCAGGTAGCACAGTTGATTAGAGCATTGTCCCCATCTGCCAAGGTTTTGGGTTTGGTCCCTCATCAGGGCACACAGAAGAATCAACCAATGAATGCATAAATAAGTGAAACAACAAACTGATGTTTCCTTCTCTCTTTCTCTTTCTGGCTCCCCTCCCAAAATCAATAAATAAAATATTAAAATAAAATAAAAAAATGACTGACAGTCCCACTGCCTTCAGGAACTATTACGCAAAACAGAGAAAAGAGTTTAACTTAAAAATAAATTATACTAAGTGTTGAAGGACTATAGTGTGACATAGGCGAATAGTGGTAGAGAAAGCTCTGTGCCAACTTTTAACTGCAGCTGTAGTGGAACACACTAAAAGCCTTGTTTTAAGACAAAAGCAGTGAAATAAAAAACAATGGTTTAAAACTTATCACTAGTGTTAATGGCTCATGACTACAAATTTGCCTGTTCCCAATGAAGGATTCTGGGATAAAAGGCCATATAATAAGGAAAAAAAGTGGAAGAAAATGAAATTGAACAAATTCTCACACAAGCCCTGGCCGGTTTGGCTCAGTGGTTAGAGCGCCGGCCCACGGACTAAAGGGTCCCAGGTTGAATTCCAGCCAAGGGCAGTACCTTGGTTGCAGGCTTGGTCCCCATTGGGGTGCATGTGGGAAGCAACCAATCTTTCAATATGTCTCTCCCACATTGATGTTTCTCTTTCTCTCCCCCTTCCACTCTCTCTGAAAAAGCAATGGAAAAAATATCCTTGTGTGAGAATTAAAAAAAAAAAAAATTCTCACACAAGACTAAAACTTAAAACCTGTTTAGGAATTTTCATACATTTTTATGTCACAATTAAAGGTAAAAACACTCAAAGATAAAGAAATGAAACAACAAAATTAGAGATTCTTTTAAAATAGGACTGAAATTAAAAAGCATTTAATTTAAATCAGTGCATGCTACAGGGAATCCTCTTTACACACTACCTATTCCAAACTGAGAGGGCTCTCCACACGCTTTTCAGTTACTTAAGCAAAAATATTACAATCTGAAAACATGGAATTTTTTAAAAACAAATTCCACTGGAGTTAGGTTATTCTAACTAGTACACATGCACATTTACGTTGACTAGCGATGATACTTTTTTGAAAACAATACTTTTGGAAAATAAACTTTACTCCACTAAATTTGGACAGTAAAGTTTGCTAAATAATGCTCTGTTAGAAGTTATCGTATAAATTCCATTTTTTGCAACTTATTTTTCCAGGATTTATAAATGAAAATTTATACTTGACAAGAGAATGTTCAGCTAATAACTTGTATATTTATTTAGTAATTTGAAATGTCTGCATCTGAAAAAGGATAGTGTGTGGTGACCACAAAAGATAAAAGCACACAGTTGGTAAGGGTAGTGCTCTTACGCAGTATTCTAAAAATGTGCTTTTATTAGGTATTCAGTGACTATCACAATAATGAATATTAAACATTCCCCTATCAATTCTTTACATTTTTCTACAAAGTTGACCCAATTTCAAGCCAGAATTTGAGTCTTCCACATTTAGAAGGACAAAAAAACAAAAGTAATTGGGCAGTCCTAAAAATACACATAACTACATGACTTAAGATACTCATTTAAAACTTTTGCCAAGATAGCACCTCCCTTGAAAACTACGATTGACTCACTGCTCTATTTTACTTAATTTTGGAAATAAAAAAACTACATGGATTCCTAAACACTCATTTCCCTCATCTCTGTACCCACCATTTAAAACGTTCAACCTTCAATTTATGATTCGTCCCTTCAAAATGGTAAGATATTAAAAAATAAAATAGAAAAAACAACCTCAATAGTTCCAAGTTACCAAACATGGAATTAAAAAAAACCCCACCAGATTCAAGAATGTTCTAAAGTCACTGGAAACAATGTGTATGGTCACTACTCAATGAAACCATCTCACCTCAGATGACACTTTTAATCTGTGAGACCACCCATTTGCTAGAGTTAATCACCTGAGCAAAGGGTTTCAATTTCGTCTCACCAAAGTGGGAAACTATCAATCTCCCTACATAATTAAGGTCCACCCTCGGTGGATATTTCTACATGTAGGAACAAAAAACAAAAAAAAAAGCCTGTAAAGTTGGGGGCAGGGTGAGGACAAAGGGCATTTTGAAACACCACAGAAGTAAATAGAGAATGAGGACAGAAGGGAGCTAAATTCAAGTTCCTTCAAGAGGATAAAGGCGAGAAAAAAGCAGGTACCCTTGTTTACCACCCCAAGGTTCCTATTCTTCATTACCGCCCACTGGAATGCAAAGTTGGAACTACCACTCCGCAGAACCCATCAAATCCTCAAAATGTCAGGTCACCAGGCAGCCTCTGGAATGACAGGCTAATACCCCTCCCCCACCCCACCCCCCAAAAAAGAAAGGTCCAATCCCCTAAGTGCAGGTCACTGTGCCCTCTGGGGCAGTTCCAGCCGGCGCAAGGATGGTTCTTCTGATGGGAGAACGAGAGGGGGAAGACAGACCACCTTTTTTCCCTTACACCCTCAGTTGAGGAAACAAAACAAAACAAAGACAGCCCTCCTCCTCCCCGGGTCGTCACTATCGTACCCAGAGGGGCTTTCTTATTTCCCGGTGCAGTCTGGCCTCCCGCCCCCGCCCCCAGGACAAAGAAAAGGCACTGGGTGAGCAAGGCCTTCCTGCCTCCACGGGTGGGGGGAGGGGGCTGCGGAGGTGAGGAGCCCCCTCCGCTCACCAGCACTCACACTCTTGGCCCAGAAAACAGCCGAAAGCGGCGGGGACCGGAGGCCTCGGTGGAGGAAGCCTGGTCTGGGAAGGGCTGGGAGTACCTTGAAGTAGCCTCCTTCGTAGAGGGTGTTGGGGGGTCCGAAGATGGCAACCTCCCAGTTGTAGAGGTCGGACTCATCCACCAGGGTGATCCGGAAGCCCTCCACTGGTTCCTCCTGCAGGGATTTCAGCTCCAGCATCAGGGCCTTCTGCGAGCTGGTCATCTGCTGCTGGGCCATCGCGGCGGCGGCGGCAGCGCCGGGCCGGGGCCCCCGTCCTCACGCACCGGCCGAGCCAGACG